GTAAAGATTTTAAAAAATCCTGTTTCTCTTGTAGGGAGCAGGGGAGAGTGGTTTTGGCTGTAAAGAATGCTGAATGTTAGCACTGTTTGAAATGATGAAGCATATATAATCCTACCCTTCTCAAAAAAGAAAAAAAAAAAAGAAAAGAAAAAGGTATCTGGGAGTATTTTTTTTTTTTGATAGAAATGAAACATTAGTCTGTAAATGTGACTGGTTTTTTTTTGGAAGGCTCTGGTTGCTAATGTACCTGAAGCTAGGAACATGAAAGAATAACCTAAGCCTATCTTATATGTGAAGGAATTCTGGCTGTCCTTCTGACGGGACACTATTAGGACCAGCACCCCAAAAGGACAAGAGCTGATTAGCTGGGAGTGGTATCCAGAAAGTGGGCTGAACAGGAGAGAGGCAACCACATCTATCTGGTGAATTTATTCTTACTGAATCAAATGGTGATACTGCAAACAGAAAAAAACAATAACAAATATTACCAATGTTATTGTCTCTAGTTATTTTATGATGTTATTAAGACATGTAAAACATATTGCTAAGCTTAATTTGATTTTATTAGAGGCCTTTTGAAGCCTGTAAATGTCAAATATTATATTTTACTAAGGAATTAGAGTTCATTATAATGTCAGTAGAATTGGGATGAGAGAGTGCTATGGGCAAAGATTAATATAAATCTGGTGAATGTGAATGGAAAAATAATTGACCAGACATAAAATACAGACACTTCATTAAGCATTACTGAAAAGGACAAGAACAATATAAGCAGTTCTGTAGAATCTGTTCAATTCCAAACAGAGATGAAGCATCAAAGTCCAAATTGCATTGAAAGCTTGCGATGTTTTTTCTTAGCTTTATTAAGGTCATAAGCCATTCCCAAAATGCTGTGCTGCAATGAAAAACAGTGGCTATCTGAACACACTGTGTCACTTATGCTTCTGGTGTATTTACTTTAACCCGCTTCACCAGCAATATAAGGACACTACGGAAGACACCCAGTCTCTATCCCTGCTTGCAGACACTGCTGTCAATTAATACAGGCAACACAATTCAGCTGATATCATTTCCTTATTTTTTTCCTGAAAGATTCCAATTTTAGCAAGAAAATGTGGGAGAGTGCGTGTGTGTTGAGGGCATTTCTGCTACCACCTGTTTCTTTCTTGCCCTAGTGATAACACAGCAAGAGCTGATCCTGGGCACATTCATGTTAGTCAAGTGAGGAATGTGATTGCTTTAACAGATGGTTTTTTAGACATTAAGATCGCATTAACAGTCTGCAAGTTAGTGCTGTGCAGAGATAGCTGAAACAACTTCAGCTGAGGTAGCTTCAAAATCACATGAATGCAGCACTCTACCAGTAATAATTAGCCCAGAGGTAGCACCATGCTGACAGTGTTAGATTGATCTGGATCCCAAGCTAATATCCTGATAGGTACCTCATGCAGACATACCCTCTTGTTCAAAACCAGCTTATTTATCTGGATTACCACAATGCATTGCACAATCCTGACACGTTTTTAGAGGCCTAATATATTGTTATCATCTGTAAAACAACCACTGGCAGCTGTCTCATTTATAGTAATTTTATACTTCAGGTCACAAAAATTTCCTTTTACATTTCCTGAGGGATAGTTACTAGAATCCTGATATCCAATAGGGGATTGATTGATGGCTTGGCTTCGCAAGCGAAGATTTGGGAAGGGCTTTAACTGCACTTACTACAAGCACAATGACCAAGGGTATGTCGGATATGCAAATCTGGTTGGAAAAAAGGTGCTTAGGTAGTCAGGAAGTGTCCCACCAGGGCTCTCATCTCCTGAGCAATCTTGAGCTACCCATGCGCTGGTCCGCCCGCATGCAAGGTTGGATCTGCAGCTTCCCACGCACCTTGTCACCTATCGTTTCGACCCTCGCCCGTCCATACAGACAAGTGAGAGTAACCCCTTCCAGCTTGCGCAGTGGATTTTTTAGGTGAAGCGCAGCTTGCACAGAACTGCCCCCATCCTTTACACCTGAGATTTAACTGCCACAGCCCAGCTAGCCAGGACAGTGACAGCGAAGTCCACAGGTCGTAGGTTTTGTTATCTCTTTGTCATATATACATATGTTACTGTCAGTTTTTTTGTTTTTTTTTCTGCTGATTTTACTGTCATATAGTCATAGAAAATTATCCTCTGTGCTTCCAGCTCCGTAGCGTTTATATGCATTTAGATATGCATACAAATTTAGATTGTACTTTTTCTTTCATATTCCTAGCTTCAGAAGTTCATTAGTTTAGTTTATTAGTCTTCCAGCCCTGAATCAAAAATTAGTGATCCATTTGTGCTTAAAAGAATCTTAATAATCCATATTTTGAGATGGGAAGAGAAAAAGGTAGGATTATTAAGCTAATTAATTTTCTTACTTTGGTGTGTGTGCGCGCAATGCCTAGTGGTGTTGACAAATAATTGTCCCTAGGCCATAGTGAGAGCAAAGGCAAGAAGAGTCCTTTCAGTCCCCTGAAGACCTGGTTTCAGCTACCAGGCTGAAATGAGCTGAGGAGCAATGGGAGAGAGGTTGTCACCATTTTGGAGCTGAATGTACCGTGTCACCTTCAGGTTATAAAGTAGGCCAGAAGGACTGGTCTGAGCACACACAGAATCCCTGTATCTTTCCTTGGATCAGTATATTTGACTCTCCTACTGTCTCCCCTAATACCCTCACAGGCATGACTTCTAAAAACTTCTGGGTGCAGTGCACTGAAAATGTAACATTATAATTGCCGGTGGGGTCTATATATCTGGGGTTTTTGTGCTCTGCAAAAGGAATTCCACTGCTGTCACGAATGCAGCTTCACTCCTTCCCCTCTACTTCCTGCCTGTGGACATCCTAACAAATTGTCGTTGATGGTGTCTCTGAGCATAACTTCCAGAGCTTTAAACCATTAAATGCATGCTAGCCCCATATACTGTGGAAACTGTCATCCCAACACAGTTAACTTCAGGCTTCTGCGCAGCAGAGACACATTGCCTGAATGTCAAATGATGGTCTTGAGCTTGTTGCTCTATACCAAAATATAAACTAGTGATATATCTAAAATATGTATAAATAATCCCATACTTACCTTTTAGGAGTTTGAGTACTTTTCCCTTAAAATTTGCATCTAAGGAAGGGCAAGAGTGCAGTGCTTTAGGTGCTCTTTTAACCTATATCAGATTATTTTATTGACAATAAACTCAGAATCTAGAGATGAATACAAATTCAAAGTCACTTTTCTTCATCCTTTTCTTTTTTGGTAGAGGGTTAAATAGCAGAACATGTTAAAAGGTGTTTAATGGCTGAGTGCCCTGACTTTGTCTGGGACAGAAGCCAGTCCAGGACATTTGCTGGCTAGAGCTACCCACACTGAACATCTATAATCAGCTTGGCACTCTTGTTAATATGGCAGGTGTTTATGTCTACCAGTGTAGAAAGTGCCAGACCACACAGTGATGGCTTGTGAATAACGGACTGCTGATAAATCTTTCATTGTGCATTTTTCAATTTTAATTTGCTATAATTTTCAGAAAACATCAAAGCCTTTTTATAGGTATTTTGTTATATTTTAGTATGAAAAACCTATCATTTGTTTGTGCACGTCTTTAAAATGACTAGTCTTAATACAGCTGGGGATTTAATGCTTTAAAAATTGGCAGTGGATTCATGGGAGCTTGAAATGACTTGAAAGTAAATCCATCATTTAGAAATTCTCACTCTAAATCAGACTAAAGAAATTAAATCCGGTAGATAAATGTTTTCACTCACAGTGTCTTTCCTGAAGGAGGAATAGGGCCAAAATGTTTGTCTAGGAAACTGTGGGCTTTCTTGTGGTTACCCTTGAACAAGTTCACATGTTTGCACTGTTCAGCATTCTGTTTCCTTCCTATACCTACACGGGAACTTCACTCAGCATGCCTGCAGCAAATTGAAAGAAAAGCACTTGCACAGGACGACTGAACAATGCTTATGAGTAAGAAAGGTTCAGAATTGCTTTCCCTGAGGGTAGAATATTGTTCTTTAGTCAACTGAGGAATGAATTTTTATGTAACTGAATAGTAACCTTCAATTTGACAAATCAACTTAAAGCTTTCAATTACAAAGCAGTGCTGAATGGATCAACTCTTAATGCAAATGTCCAAAGCTAAGCCAATGGGTGATAACTCTTCAACCCTCTTACATATTGATGTCTTACTTATAAGGAGGGAAATAACATTTCAACAGCACAGGCAAATTAAATTTAGGATAGTTGCAGTGCCAATATGGCACTGATGAGTGCATGGGAATGAAAATCAGGGAAAATTTATTGAACAAGTAACACAGAGAAATGGATCTTAAAATCAAGTGTCATACAAAAATAGGAAAAAAAAAGACTACTACCACTTGCCATATTCCAAGAAAAGTGAATTAATAAGCAGTAATTGCTTTTTTATCATTTATCCTCTATTTTTGAAAGGATAATGTAAGAAGAATGAAAATGAATGAAAATTAAATATATATTTTTATTATTATTGTTATAATTCAAAGCAAAACATAATAATTGTGCTATATTTCGGACTTCCTGAATGTGTATTTTCTGTAAGAATTCCTGAAGATTCTTTCTTAGGCAGAATGACACTGTTAAATAGAAAACATTATTATCACTGAAACACTCCTGTTTGTTAAGAGGAAGTGAGTGGTTGTAGGGATACTGCAGAAAAAATAGAAAAGGAGCACAGAGGTAATGTGAAGAGGAAAGCTGAGGATGCAGAGGGAGGTGATGGGGAGATGTTCTTGAGTAATGTGCTGAAAGCAAACATTGAGAGAATTACACTGAACACAAGGAGAGCTCTGGTTGTAATCAAGTGATTGAAGATAACATCAAGGGCATAGGCATGAATCCATAAGAAAATAAGCTTCCTTAGTTCTGTCATTCACAAATAGTTCTCTCTCTACTTTTTCCCCCTTAAGATTACAGAATTCCAATGCAAGTTTTGTTTGTTTTAATTTTTTAATTTTATTTTAATTGTTGCATAGGTCTTTTGCAATATGGAAATTGCTGGAGGAGGGTGGACAGTCATACAGCACAGAGAAGATGGAAGCCTGGATTTTCAAAAAAGCTGGAAAGAATACAAAATGGTAAGGTGAAGAATGTGGAATAGTTGTACAGTTCGTAGACATGTTATATTTCAAATAGTACTTCCGGTTATCTTAAACAGATAGATAGTCTGTCTACAGTGGTGTGGTGTGGTCCTGCAGTCTTTCATGAGCTACCTTTTGTCGTGTCTGCTACTTTTGAAAACTATATTATTTTTACTCAGTTAGTGGGGTATTATTTCCCATGACTTAGGGTTTCTTTCAGATCAGTTACTGAAATTAAAGTGAGGTTAGGCCCAGGCATATGCACTAAATAATATTGTCGTCTGTCCTTCTGAAGTTTTGACTTGCTGTGTCATTAAGGAGTAATAGGCATGTGATGGTTTTCCTAATGTATGGATGTTCCCAGCTGAGGGGAACACTTTCAAAACTTGAAGCATCTCAGATAGAAATGAAAAGTTTTATTGGGGCTTATCCCATGTAATACAACACGTCTGCCAATCAAACTAATGTACTGGAAATGTTGATACTTTGAAAAAGATTAAAAGAAAATAAATAACTTACCAAATTACAGATGACATGACTTCAGCTGGCTCTTTTTTCATTGACAATTCAAAAAAAAAAAAAAAATTTACTCCAATCTAAATAACTCCTGATTTTTTTTTTCATTTGGTGCATGCTCAGACTTTCTGATAGACTTCTTTTCTTTGAGTCCCTGAGAACTGGTTTGGATTTCAGTGACATTCCCAGTTAAGTTTTCAGAACTGTGTTATCAGCCTGGAAGAGGATAATCTTTCTTCCAGCAGTTTTCAGAAGGCACTAAATGAAGAGAGGGAGATATAAAATGTTTAAATATAAAAGCAATTTTAGTTCAGTAAAAAGTTCTGTTACAGAGCATACCATTTCAGAAATAGGTACAATATTAGATTATTGAAGCAAAATGTCATGTTGGATTTAATGGATGCTTCCTTTTCAATATTTTCATATTACTTGAAAGCATAAATTATAGAGATAAAAACTAACCATCTGGGTCAGGTCTCTGCTACTATGGATAACCAGAGGATGTAATATATTTCATAATTTGTAATGTTCTAATTTAGCAGGAAACTTGAAATATGTTTTATTTTATTTTAGTTCAGAGTCAAATAAAATATTAAACATCAATTTATTTTGGGGAAAAAAAAACTTTGAAAATTCTACCAGTTCTATTTATGAGATTTGTATATGCAACCTAAGTTGTTTTCTATACATGGGCTGGTTTAATTTATACATATTGTACAAATTATCGAGACCTATTCAATTTTTCTCTCCTGTGCTTTTTCTCAGACCATTTAATAAAAATAGACCATATTTTTAAAGTTTTCCCATATGGCCTTTTTTCACATATATCCCTTCACTTACTCAAACATTTTTCTCAAATTTTCCTTTAAAACAGTGTGAGTCTGTTCAGGATCGATTATGTTGGGTTTGTCTAGTTCAAGCAGTCCAAATTAGTTTTGTTTCTCTTTAGGAATGCCATAGTCTTCTAAGAGATCACTTTTATCAAATAAAAAGGATCTGTTTTGGACTTTTACTGATAGTTATCCTATAAGTAAGTCATGAGAAAAGGTGGGATTTAGGCTTGTCTCTGCTTCTATGAATTATTTCATCAGGGTAGCTACACCCCCTTCTGTCACCACATGTTGGATGATTGAGGCTGGTGAATGCTCTGTGATTTGTTGGAATATGTGACCGCGTCTGAACTTCAAGGCAATGACACCACTGGTTTAATTCCCTTAATTAAATTAATTACTTAATTTAATTCCCTTAATGAGAAGTTCAGAGATGGTGTGTGATATCTATTGGATCACATTCCTTCTTCCTAATAATCTACCTGGCATTTCTTCCAATGGGAAACTGGGTAGTGTGATGAGGAGCACAATGGTACTTGGTCTTACTTGGATTGATTGAACTTAATATATGTTCTCTCAGGCCATAGTTCAGATACAGGTTTTCAGATTTGCTAAGACATTTTTCTGTGCTTGTATCTCACTAGGGCCCCTGATTCAACAGAAATAAACCATATAACAGCAATAAGTCGTCTCTGGGCCTTTAGTTTCAGTGCATTTACTTCTTATTGGAAAAGAATATGGAAAACTGTAGAAATTATTCTGTTACAACTCATTACAGATTGTCAGCTTCTAAGCTGGACCAGGACTCACTCGACCAACCTGTAGTACTGCTAATACCATCACAAATTAATGGCTGTTCCAGTTTAGGAGGCCATTGAACATTTTCTCTGACTCTCAGCTGAGATCCTTATAGCAGGTAACTTAGGAAGGGTGAGCATGGAGTATCCTCTGGGAAGATGAGTGACAGTGCTGCTGGGTTACAGGAGTGCCCTGGCAACAAGGACGCAATCATTGTCTTTGATTCAGTTTCATGGTGGTGCCTTCAGCTTACATGGAAGTACTTCAATTACTGTTTAATGTATTTTCCAGACACCAAAAAAGGAAACAGGTTAAAAGAGAAATAAAGCAGCAACAAATCTTCTGAAAGTAGGAAATTTACAACATACATACATTAATTGCCACAATGTCAGTGATACTACAGTAATAGTGATACTTACTTTTTCTTCTTGTTCTTTTGGATCCGTTTCACCTGACATCCAATCTCCACTCTGTAAAATGAAGTTACCTTTCTTTGGTAACTAAAGCAGTAGCTAATGAATACAAAATCTTTTATGCAGGTTTATTGTTGTGCCAGATTGGTTATGGCATCTTCTTCCTTAGAGGCATATGTGCTTATCAATATTACCCAGTCTTGTGCTGTGCCTTTGTGCCATTGGGCCATTTCAGTTTTGTATTGTTTGTTCCAATAGTAATTGGAAGAAATTCAGGGGAAACCCTGTGAGTTCATCCTCCCATACTTTTCTTATCAGCTCCTACTACATCTGTTCTTTCACATTTTGCAGTGGATTTTCCATTATACTATTCACTGCTTATCAGAAAAATATGAAATGGAGCAACGAATAATTTCTTTGACAACAGCAGCTAAGATCACCCTGCAGCAGATTTCAGCCATTTTTCATTTTTCCTTGCCTGAAGAATGAATGTAAAACACTATTAGAGTTTTGACCTCTAGAAAGGGAATATAACTTTAAGAACTATTATTTACCATCTGTAAACCTGCGCTGCTTTTAGAAGGGGTATTTCCACAAGCTTATTTTCTAAGACACAGTTTCTGGCATTAAATAGGCAGTCATTATCAATAATCAAATCCAAGCAGATTATCAGCTCATGTGATAACTTGGCTATCAAGAGTTCTTTCTCAGTTTCCAACTTTTAGTTCTTGGATAAATGAATCTTTCCCAGTTACTGTCTATTTTTGCCAAATCAGATGATGGACTGTTGGATTCCCTATTCTTTAGAGTTTTAACATGTCTTGTTTATTAATTCCCATTAATTTCACCAAAGTTATTCCCCACCCAATAGCCCAAATTCACTATCAGTTTCCTAGAGGGGTTTCTGGGGGGACAAGCTTATTGGGGGCTTCCTCAGATCTTTATTTTCTCAGGCCTTTTATTTTCTTGCTTTCTGTCATTGGAGAAAGACTCTCAATAGGTATTTGAAATTGTGTGCCTTAGCCAGCCTGCAATAATTCTTTTCCTAACCAGGTCTGGTTGTTTGAATTGTTTTTTGGTTTTTGTTTTTTTTTCCCCCGTATGTCAGTATTCAATTGTACTGCATGCTTTATTGCTACAATATTGCTATTTTCCTTTCTCTGATGAAAGCAAGCTATTGCTTTTTTAATCATTCACCATGTAATGAATTAGATTAGGATCACTTGTATGTGTTAGACTCATAGCTGAAATTCTCACAGCTTTATGGCAACCACCTCCCATCTTTCTGACTGGCAGCTGTTTCTTCTTTTGGTTCTCTGGGGCAAGAATGACATTCAGCAGTGAATTACACACCCCCTGAATCTCATTCTCCTGATTAATACCTAAGGGTCCAACATCAGTTCAGTGGTTAATACAAGTCTGCTGTCAATTTATCTCAGAAATCACCACTAGGATTTGTGTGTGCCTGAAAAGCACACCTACAAAACCACTTCCATTTCTGTTGGAGTTTCTTTTACTTTTCTCTCAAAGCTGTTGGGTCAAAATGACGGCTAACTCTGTAGTGCCAAAGTGGTATGATGCCAAAGCAAGATAATTTATGCTCTTCTAAGGCTTAAATTCTGCATCACTGAGATCACAGAGGTGGTTAAAAGAACTTTCCCAAGAAGTATTGCGGTATGAAGTTATAGTGGGCATTTACATTATATTATCTGGAATAATTTGGCTTTCCTTTGAGCATCAGTAAATTTTAACTAGTATAACAAATCTGGTAATCTGTGTCTTCTGCTTTCCTAAAAGACAGCTGAACACCTCTTCAGACTTTGATTTCCTTCAAGGCTTGAGGGTTTTTACTTTTTCATATACTTCACAGAGTTCACCTCTGAGTAAACTCTAGTTTGGACACAAGTCCCACCCTTTTCCTGGAAGACCCTCAAATTTATGACAGTCAGGTGGCTGGTCACCTCATGTTTTCACCTCATCAGTCCTTGCAAGTCCTACAGACTGCAAGTTGGTATTTGGGCATATAGATGTACTTGAATTATTCATAGAAAGAGCTACCATTCCAGCAAAGGTTTTATTTCTTAGCACACTCTTCCAGTTCATTCTGAAAAGTTCCAGATGTTATTTATATTTAATTTTTATTTGCAAAGTGTCTAGCTCCTGTTTCATAAGATGGACTTTTAATTCCTTTTATGGTCTCCATCTGTTTTAAGTCTTATTTTAATTTATCTTGTGAAGGTTTCAGTTCCAGGTTTCGGTTTTATTATTCTTTCTGCCTACCTTTCCTGACTCTAAACTCTATATTGCTTCAGTAATAATACTAACTTTCACTTTTTTCTTTTTCAAAATAGGTCCTCACCACAATTAACATTGTGCTTGACCTGAGAAAAGAGGCAAAAACTCAAGCTGTTGTGCTGTTTCCTTTTGTAACATTAATTGATGATGGCTGTTTTTCTGTTGCAGTTTTGTCCATTTACAAACTGTGTGCATATTCTTTTTTCTCTCCAAACACTTGAAGAATCAAACAACTATGGGTAGAGCTCCAACTCCTTCCAGTCACATTAGATTATTCACTTTCTTTTCAAGTGAGAGGCCAATTGCATACAAATGAACAAGGCACATTTTAAATATGTTTGTATAAGCCTCATGATTCTTATTCCATTATTTTAACGGAAAACAAGTTCAGATGTGTTTTTCTTTAAACAAAAATTACATAAACCATGTGGCTTGGCTGAAAAGAATGTTCTTGACAGAAAAAATAAATTTGCTCATAAATTGAATGCTCATATTGTGGAAACATTATCGTAACTCTTGGTTTTCTTAAAGCTAGCTATTCTGAATTAATTTTAAATCCTTTTCCGTATTATAAGTATTTAAGCTATGTTATGCATTGATATGGCTGTAAAATTTTCTCACTTCTTGCATTCACAGTAGTCTAATATTATTGATATATTTGCCACATTCCTGTGTTCTTTAAATAAGAACTCAAATACTATCAAACAGATCTGAAGGTAGTAACACTGCTCTTCCTATGACTATTCCAGATTGAATGAGTTTATGAAAAGCCCATATTTTGGATCGTCATTCATGATAAATTTTTGCATTTAGACTAAAGAAAATGGACCTTTATTGGCACGTGGAAAATGTGTATATAAATATATGCCAGCTACAGATTCCTAGCTATGAACAGGCCTGTGGTTTTATGACAATTAGACATTTCCTCCACTGATTATGACTTGAGATATATTCAGGTAATCTATTATTTTGTCACAAACAGTAACTCAAAGAAATATAAGCAAAGCAAAAAAAAATATTACATTTAATGTGCGTATGCTTGTTGATTGATCTGATATGGATATAGATTTTTCATCTTCACTCTTATTACCCCCAGATTGTTTGCCTGTGAAGGATCCCCCCCCCAGGGGCAAAGATATATAATTATACAAAGATAAAGCTGCTCCTGATAGGTAACTGGATTTTTACACAGCACTGCCTTGATTTCAGAGTTGAGAAGGTTTTATCATTAGCACATGGGGTATTCCGTTTTGCTTTCTTCTGCTTAGCAGAGAAGCAGAGGTTGTTCAAAGCATGTCTTCATAGTTTCTCCTTTCCTTTATGGCTTACCAAACCCGTTCGGAGGGAAAGAATTGTTGGTTCAAAGAACGTGAGGAGGTATTTTGAAGATGGGAATAGGAAAGTAATACAGAAAGTTTTGTGGAAGGTGGAAAGCTTTCATAACACTGTGTGTACTATATCCATCTAGCTAGATAGATAGATAAAGAGCTAGAGGAATATCTCAATTTCTTTTGCAGAAACAGTTTCATGTTCTTTCCCTGCCAGTAGTCTGAAGAATGTTCTAAATGATGTTGCAACATCGACATGGCCCTTCCTGCAAAATGAAGGGTTTGAGGACAGGATGGACCTGTGAGAAAGGCAAAAACTAGAGAATGCATATCCTTGGAAAAGACAGAAGGCATGTTCCTTCTGTACTGTAAACAAACAAGACAAGTTGGGAGTGGTGGTATTGAATTATGTTGCTTAAATAGGCAACATAAAATGAGAGTGAATTATGTGAGTACAAGGGGATAAAAAAAAAGCACACTTCAGACATGAATAATTTTGTAACATGTAACCACAAATACATTTCTGACGATAGTACACTTCAGTGTCATGAGTTAGTTACATCTGAAAAAGATCATTTACTTCAAGGGACTGGGATAGATGACATGGAAGTAATTTGCTTCTTTCAAATATTTACCAAGTAATTTGGATATAAGGAAATGATTTTTGGTGAATTGAATGTGTATTAAGATACTGCGTGAATAACGCCTTTCATGGAGACCCACCCCTCTGTGATAAAGTATGACATGTCATGCTAGTTTAATAAAAAGTCACTTCTGACTGCAACTGTTACTCAGATAATTGTCACTTTCATCAGTGTCATAAAAAAGAGCCAGCATGTACTCTGGTTCACCTGAAATCTGAATCCAGCATGTCCAGTGGAGACAGACATGATATCAAAGCAGTGAGAGACCATACTCAGTTTTCTGAAAGCATGCACATGAAACTTGGTACTGAGCAAGGCTTAATCTACAGTGTGCATTTCAACAGTATGACCTCAGAGAACAAGAATGAAACAATATTTGTTTCAGAGGGGTTTGGATCACTAGATTAGGCACCAGAGAAGGTGTTACCACACAAGGAAGCATTTTTATTTTGGGACATATT